TTTTTTTGAGACAGAGTCTCACTCTGTCACCAGGCGCCAGGCTGGAGTGCAGTGGCGCGATCTTGGCTCACTGCAACCCCTGCCTCCCGGGTTCAAGCAATTCTCCTACCTCAGCCTCCCGATTAGCTGGGACTACAGGGGCGCTCCACCACACCCAGCTAATTTTTGTATTTTTAGTAGAGACGGGGTTTCACCATGATGGCCTGGATGGTCTCGATCTCTTGACCTCGTGATCTGCCAGCCTCGGCCTCCCAAAGTGCTGGGATTATAGGCATGGGCCACTGCGACTGGCCACTACTAAAAATATTTTAAAAATTAGCCAGGTGTGGTGGTTGGCGCCATTAATCTCAGCCACTCAGGAGGCTGAGGCAGGAGAATCACTTGAGCCCAGGACTCCAACCTGGGCGAAAGAGTGAGACTCTGTCTTTAGTGAAAAAAAAAAAAAAAAAAAAAAAAAAAAAAAAATTAAGGCATCCAGACTGTAAAAGGAAGAAGAAAAACTGTCTTTATTTGAGGGTGATCATCTATGTGGAAAATACTAAGGCATCTACAATAAAAAATACTAGAATTAATACATGAATTTAGCAAGGTCTCAGAATATATCATTGATATATTAAAAATCTATTGTATTTCTATATATCAGCAACAAATAATCAAAAAAATCAATACACAATAACATCAAAAAGAATAAAATGTAACAATCTAAATACACTATCAGATTTTGACTTCTGCAAAGAATTTCACCAAAGCCTCTTGATCTGCAGTTTCCATTGTATTAAGTAACATCAGCAAAATTAAAGAATTTGCAAAAATATTGTGGTATGGTTTACAATGCTGAATTTTAAGTCTGCTATTTAAGCATAATTGGAGTGTATTTCAAAGATAAGGAAGTGCATATTAAAGAATAATGAAATTTTAATTTCTTCCTCTCTAGTTACAAAACAGGGTATTCAATTTTATTCTTTCCCCATTTAGCAAACATCAATTCTAGACCTATACATAACAACTTTAGAATAATTTATTTTTATCACCTCTTCTCAAGTGGCAGAAAGATAGTTCTTGATGCTAAAAAAAATCTGACTACCTCTGAGCATCCAGTCTACAGTTCAAAATCAGAGCAATCCTCCTTTTTTTATACAGTATTTTTAAATATGGATATAGTGAATGCTTTAAGAAAATGTCAAGCAGCTAGGCAAGGTGGCTCACGCCTGTAATCCTCACACTTTGGGAGGCCAAGGCAGGTGGATCATGAGATCAGGCATTCGAGACCAGCCTGACCAACATGGTAAAACCTCGTCTCTACTAAAAATACAAAAATCAGCTGGGCATGGTGGCGTGCGCCTGTAATCCCAGCTACTCAGGGAGCTGAGGCAGGAGAATCACTTGAACTCAGGAGGCAGAGGTTGTAGTGAGTCGAAATCACACCACAGCTCTCCAGCCTGGGTGACAGGGTGAGAGTCCGTCTCAAAAAAAAAAAAAAAGAAAAAAGAAAAGAAAATGTCAACTAATGGAAACCAAAGAAAAGTACTAATATATATTACTGTAAAACATCATTAAGAAAGGTCTGTTTGTAAGTTACCATAGTTATTCAACTCAAAGAAGTGAACAAACTTCTTTTCACCAAAGGATTAGGTTACTCAAAATTCAGGTATATGGGAAAAGGAAATTGAATATTTTAGATTTTCCTTCTCACTCCCATATAAGAAGAAATCTGAGACTAAACTGAATATAGCAAAATTAAAGGATGGTCTCAAGTGGCAAAGAAACTATCTGCAGGTTACAGTCTCATGTTTTCATTTATTTCAACTACAATCTACTAAACAATGACTGTAGTTCATTTTTCAAAGTAAATGTTAAATGCTTCCTGACATGTTGAATTAGGTTACTTCAGAGTGAAAATACTCTGGTGGAATATAAAATTGACAACTATAACATTAGTAAGAATTAGCAAGAATGAAGGAAGACAGACAACTCCAAGACCAAGAAAAACCCAGCTGGGTCTTAAAGCATTGTCGAGTCTAGGACACCTTAGATGCCAGTTCCTTAATTTACAAATTAACTAAATTAAATAATTTGTCAAAGGCTGTAACAAGAAGGGAGAAGGCCTAATAGCTGTTGAGTTCCTATTCTAATGCTGGCATATGCTAGGAGTATATATTATCTCATGTAATCTTTACAATCACCCCGAAAGAGGGTATTTTTCCCAACTTACAGGTAAAGAACCCGATATTCAGAAGAATTAAGTACCTCGCTTATAGTTGAACCAAGGCAAAATTCAAACCAAGAAACTAGGCTCTTGTTTTTTGCTTTTGTATCTCAGTATAGCCATTTTACACATTAGAGGTTTTATGCGTTTAAAAGATTCAATTCAAGAGAAAGTAACCATTTCTGATTTCCTGATGTTATGGAATTCTATTCTAGCAGGCAGTCAAGGAGGGTAGTCAACAAACTGTGGGCTGAAAGCAAGGTACCCAGGCAAAGATTTTAGCAGGTACCAGTTTTCTTTATTTTTTTTCACCCTCGTCCTTGGTTTCTCTCTCACTGTTGTACACTGGTAGTTTAAAAAACTATTTTAAATAGAAATGAGCAAATCACAAGACTCTGAAGTATCGCTACTCTAAGGATTTCTAGGCACACTGCATTTAGGGTAAATTCAGAGGAACTGCATTTAGTCTGGGAGGTAGGAGGAAAAGGGGTCAAAAAAATTCTCTCCTTGGTAGACAGCATGTTTCATCAATATCATATAATTCTTGCCAAATCCTAGCCCTTCTATATCAGAGAGTTTAAAAATGTTGCTGTTAGGTTTTAATCAAATACGTAAATTTAAAACAGAATGCAAATTACCACTTTTGAAGTCTAGGTCTAGATTTTTCACGTTTCTCAATGTGTGTAGGTAACTGTAAAAGAGTGCCAAAACTAAACCTACACACTTGACATGCTTATTTTTCCCTGACAAGTCTAATAATCCATTTTTTTAAGTATGTTGAGTAATACTGAATAATTTCTTAGTCTATGAGGCAGAGTAAAAACAGGCCTTCAAAAGTTCAAAAACCTAGAGCTCACTTAAGAAAAAAAGTTTAAGAAATCATTTTACCTATCTCATAATATTTTACACTATTATGATTAATATTACCTATAAACAAGAAACAATGTGTTAAATTTACACCTCAGGACTTGTCCTGAATCTAGAGAGAGCCTGTAGTCTTATCCTGTTCTCCACTGTTGCTTGTATCTCACAGATTCCTCCAGGAATTCTGAAACTGGGCCTATCTATTTTGTAGGTAATTACGTAGGTCTTATTTGGTTCAATTCCTGAGGGCCTACTATGTAATTATGTAGGTCTTATTTAGTACAATTCCTGAGGGCCTACTATGTGCCAAGCATTGTGCTAGACCTTGGAAGTATAAAGAATAAAGCCCAGTTGTTACCAAATCCATGTACTTAACACTTAGATTGGTTAGGGACAGGCAGGAAGAAGAGGGGAGGCTAGGGCATAAAATGCTATGAATGGTGTGCAAAAAAAAAAAAAAAAAAAGTTTGCATAGAAAGATCCTCTACTGAAATTTGTCTATTTTTCTCATGATTAGACTGGGGTCCTAAGTTTCTCAAAGGAAGAACACAGAAGTTATGTGTCACTTTCATCATATCATATCGAAGGTATATAAAATTGCCATGATTTAGCTCTGCTGATGTTGGCTAAGGTAGTGTTTATCAAGTTTCTTCACGGTAAAGTTACTCCCCCACCATCAACATACATATTCTTGGAAGGAAGTCACTATGCTTAACCCATACAAAGGAGTGGGGAAGTTATGCTCCCTGTCCTTGGGATAGGGTATCCATATAAATTATGTGAAATTCTTTGGCATGGAAGATGTTCTTTTCTTCTCTTTATTTATTCAATAATTTATATCACCATGGACTCATGGATATTTATAGTATGCTTTGAGTATTTAAAATTTATAAAATAATTTCTGGCTTTATTGCATTTTGATCAAGTCGTATAACATAATATTTCTGTATTATAACACTTACCTGATGTTTACTTTTGTGACTTGACATACAATCAACTTTTGTAAACACTTCATGTATACTTGAGAAAAGGTGCATTTTCCATTATCAGAGCTTCAAGTGTGATATATGTACAGGCCTATCTATTTGGCTATGTTGTTTAGGCCTTTCTCTATCCTTGCTTGTTTTGTCTGTCTTATTTTATACTCAGAGTGGTGAGTTGAAGTCTCCCATTATTAATTAGCATGTTTATGTCTCTTAGTATCTCTTGTATTTTTTGCTTTGTAAATGTGGTTGCTGTGTTATTTGGTGTTAAATACACGTAACTGTTGCATCTTTTGTTTGAAATGTGTTCTTTCTCATGTTTAGTGCATCTTTAGTCTTATTTTGGTATCAGAATCTTTGCTGCTTTCTACGGGTTTTACCATTTGTCTGGTATTCTTTTATTTATGTCTTTATTTTTAGCTTTTTAATTCATGCTGGTTTAGATATATGTTTTCTATACAGCATGTAGTTTATTTGATTGGTCAAACTGAAAATACTTTTTGCTAATAGGTGAAGTGAGTTAGGGCTATTCATAATTATTGATAATGATTAATATATTTGGTCTCAACATATTACACATACCTATTATGTATATCTTTCTACTATATTTTCTTTATTATCAGTTTTTTGAATTTTAAAAATTTATTTTATATTTAGAAATATATTTTCTTCTGTTCTAGCAATTTTGTGCTTTACTGTAAATAGACTTCTAGCATAAGGATTTACATTTAATTGTCTAGGAATTGGGCTACATTTAATGTTTGCTGTAACTGTAGGTGCCAGAGCCTTCAATTTCCTCTACTGTCCCTGTTTTTGTCTCCCCTGTTATCTTCGGGTTTCCCTAGAAACTCCTTCTTAAATAGGGTCTGCATCTTACAGCTCTCTCAGTCGTTATCTACTCTTAATTTACTGGAGCTCTGTTGATGTGGTAGGAAGGTATTATGGAAGGGAAGCAGTCTATACTCTTATAATTAAATCTCAGCATTGTTAAGAGTTTGTGATTCCCTGGGTTCCAACCTTCAGAAGAGTTTCTGAACCTTTTTCTCCTCTCCTTATGTTAGACAGAAAGGCCAGGGTGGGGCAAATTGTCTAATTTCCCTTTTCCTAGGTCAGATAAGGGTCTGGTAGTTTCCTTTGAGGGCTGGCCTTTGTTACTGAGAACACTCTGAGAGCACTTCAAAGTGGATCATTTTCCCTTCCCCGTGCCAAAAGCATGAGGGGATTTTTTTCAGATCTTAAACTTTAAAAGGTGGTAGTACCCAGCATGGGGGTAAAACTTTCGTGAAAGTGTGGGGGCCTCCTTGGTTTTTAACTCTCAAGTTGTCCAGATCCAGTCTCCAGACACTAGTCAATTATCGTCCAAGTAATCCTGATGGTTCTGGCAGCTTATGTTCCCAGTAAGCTATAATTCTTTGTATTCACCTTTCTCTCTAGTTTTCAGAGCAGCAGTTTCCCCTGTGACCTCAATTATCTGACAAATCTATTAAGAGTTATTGATTTTCAGATTTTCAGATTTTTTTCTTGTTGTAGGAATGGGAGTGACAGCTTCCAAACTTTTCACATGTGAGAGGAGAAACTGGAAGTCACAAAAGATACACATTTACTTTTCTACTATTTCTTTCTTTCCCCAAAAGTAGTTAATAATCCAATTTAAAGAATGGAATGTGCTAGAAGAAGCAAAAGGAAACTATAAAAGTTTATTTTAGCATGGGGGAAAGCAGAAATCATTAGACTGTGTTATTCCATCATTTCCATTATTGGTCTACCCTATCTATTCCTAAAATGTAAGCTCCCTAGTAATAGGAACATTGTTTGCTTTGGCCAGCTGCATCCCCAGTGCATAAAACACTGTATTGCACATAGCAGGTATTTAACAAATATTGGTTAGATGAATGAACCAGGTAATAAGGTACTTTTCTTGACTCTAACCTCCATAAGACCAAATCCAGCCCATCTTTCGTTTTTTTGCACTCACCATCAATTAAGACAGAAAATAGCTCTAAATCAAAGAGCTTGTAAGCACATGTTAAATGCTATTAAATACTCAGTAACAACAGAATTTCTTCATGGCAACAGAAAACTGGCTTATCCTCTTGGCCATTTTGAAAATGAGATTTTTGTAAACCTCGTTCATAAATATGTTCCATTTTCTTAAGATGCTGCTTATGTTTATTTACTGTATCCAAGGAATCGAAGAATTAAATTCATTAGGTGTTGTTTAAACAAGCCAGGAAGTATGGTCAAAGGCATAATTTAATATTTTGGAACATTTGGCACAGTCAAAAACCAAGTAGACTCCTGATTAGACATGCTGTGATCCAGTGTCATGAAATTCAACTAGAATGCTTTTACCATGAAATAACTTTTGCAGCTGAACTTTTTTACTTCCATATCAGGATATCAACGTATTTCTTTAATATATTTCATTCTACTTATAAACATTTCACTATAATTATAGCATTTTATTAATTTATTTTCAAATATATAAGCCAATATTGGTAACATGCAAGTCAATATGTTAAGATAAAAAGAGCTTACTGCAAATTTTTTACAGCTACAGGTGATTTTTTCAAGGTTTAACACTAGCTTCACAGTTTATACAAATTATTTGCAAAGGAAGATAGCAGAGAACTTACTAGAAGCCAATGTTTAGGCCAGGAGCGGTGGCTCAAGCCTGTAATCCCAGCACTTTGGGAGGCCCAGGCGGGTGGATCACGAGGTCAAGAGATCGAGACCATCCTGGTCAACACGGTGAAACGCCGTCTCTACTAAAAATACAAAAAAAAAAAAAAAAATGAGCTGGGCATGGTGGTGCGTGCCTGTAATCCCAGCTACTCAGGAGGCTGAGGCAGGAGAATTGCCTGAACCCAGGAGGCAGAGGTTGCAGTGAGCCGAGATCGCGCCATTGCACTCCAGCCTGGGTAACAAGAGCGAAACTCCGTCTCAAAAAAAAAAAAGAAGCCAATGTTTAAAAAAGTTCAAATGTAGTTGGGAAATCAGAACTTTATTCTGAAAGTAATGGGGAGCCTCTGAAGAATTTCAATCAGGAAAGTACCCAGATTATATTTATGTTTCATAAAGATTATTTTATTTAATTCCCTTCTCTGCACTATTTTTTTAATAAACTTATTTACTGTGTTT